TGTACCCTGGGAGCCTCAGTCGTGTCTCTCCTTGGGGAAGACATATACAATTGGAAAGTGGCAACTTGAATGGACTAGGTTAAATCTTCACAACAACTGGAAGCCTAACATAGGAAACTGGCCTTCAGCATATAGAAAGAATAGGAGGGAAGAGGTCGTTCTCGCCAGACTAAGGCTGAACTGTACCTATCTGACCCACCTAGAGGCCTATCTTGACAATTCCTTCCCACCTATCTGTGCCACTTGTAAAAAAATTCTCTCCATCCGACATATTCTGACGGAGTGCAGCCAGTACGAACCAGAGCGCCGGCAGCTGGTGATGCTAGCTGCCGAGCAAGGCTTCGTGCTGACTGTACCCAACCTATTGCAAGATGATATCACCATAAGTGACGCAGTAATAACCTTCCTCAAGGAGACCCATCTTATCGGCATGTTATGATTGACACACGCATGAACTCTTTTTATATCTATAATATATATGTAACCATGCCCCAAAGTAAATAAAAATGAATAAAACAAAAATTAAAACATACAACATGAGAGACACATCACAAACCTTTTCATTACATACAACACGCACATTTATCAAGTTAAACTGACACCCACCAACACATATTCAAACAAAAAGACACGGGCTACAAAAGACAAAAAAAAAAAAAAATCACAGAGAAACTAGTCACCTAACAAGCCATTTCATCTGGTCTGTCAGTAACTCACCATCATATCACTCACGCATACCATAATTCATCCCAAATAAAACAACAAGAAGAACGAAGTAACCAAAATACCAAGAACAAGAAGAACACAAGAATAACAAGAAAAGAAGAAACAAGAACATCAGATTAGTTGTAGCAAGAAAGAAGACCAAGATTAAAAGAAGAAAGAAGACATCAGCTTCGGCCGAAATAGCCCAAAGGCGAAGAGGCCAGTAATCCCCAACACCAGTCAGTCAGACGCTCTTGTTGTGGCGCTTGAAATCATACCCGAGAGCGTATGTGCTCTGATATTTGATTAGACTCATCTGTATTGGTATAGACGTCGAAGATGGCACGTTTCTCGTGTAAACACACCCCTAGAAGACAGTGACATTAAGTGGCTCGACATAGAACTCTGCGACCAAACTAGTGGCCAGGACCAGGAAGAAGATTGGACTGTCTGCAAGGAGAAAGTCTGTGTCAAGAAATCCACCAACGTGAGCCTCTCCTTACCAAACAAATGGACGATGAGTTACTGCCCGACTCTCCTTGAAGCTTCTCAAAATTGATGTGAGGTGGTCGTGTGGGGGTATAAGAAAGACTGCCAGAATTGTTGGAAATGCACAATGGTCTAACCTTCAGAGAACAACTACTTGATGACCTTAAACATTTTTGTTCAGGATGATGTTAGGTAAAAGAACTATTGTGAACATTGTCATTCCCATTGTACTTGTATCTGATAGGAATCTCTGTTTACTGTAATAGGCTACAACACGCCTTACATGGTTTTCCCTTATACACACCTGTACAATGTTAAAAAAAATAATCGGAAATTAATACATGTTGGAGTTTGCATTAATTTCAAAATGTGTTAACATCTTTCGGTATCCATTATATGCCACATTGTGTACACTAAAATTGACACATAGTTTACAATTGCTGCATATATCCCATAAATGTATACAGTCCCCCAAAATGTATCGTTAGCCATAGAGTCGATGTGATTCAAGGCTTTCCGAGCGATGTTACTCTACCTTTGACCATGAATTAGTATATACGTTTTTGAACGATACATACATTAATATACCTTAATGGATTTCATGTTATTGTATATTGAAGTATCTTGTATGCCATAAGTGAACGACTCCCTCCCCCCCACTCCTACCCCCATCTTTAGCAGTTGTGGATATGACGAGCAGGCGTACCAACTTGTGACGATACACTGGGATCATATCAAAGCATTTCGTCTATTCTAGTGGTTCAAATTGTAGTGACGATATCTAACAATACTTTTTGGGGGACTGTACAATGTCATCATATTTTGTTTATATCACTTTCTGACCTTTGGGCTCATATACATGTATCAGTTATGAACATTTTGTGTACTATCATGACCCCATATTAGATACGAGTATATCTGGACTTGAGCGTTAACTGTTAATGGGATGCAGAAGCAAAACTATTACCATTGGTGTGATGCCAAGCTAAAGTAAGTATTTTGCCCGTGACTGCCCATGTACTGTACACACATCCATTGTCATAAATGTCTGAAAATTATAATCTCATAATTGTTTACAAATTTACCTGTTTCTAATTACTATATAAGCTGTACTCTTTTCACCTTCTTTCAAATATGAGTCCTCGAATTAGCACATTTCAATGGGCTGTGCATTATTTATATAATATCAAATGTTCATTACTATATTCGTGTAATGTTGGTGTAAACTTGTCACTAGAATGTGCCAAGAAAGTTATCAATATGAATATATTTTGACTTTTCAAGAATTCCGACAAACAACCCATCCGTACATCTCTCCCGACCCTTGTTTTGCCAACCAGTGTGAACCGTGACGTCACTGTTGGCGTTCGTGTACTGTTGAATATTTTAGTGTCCAACTTCATTAATCCCTTCACTAATGAATTCCATTTTGTATATTTTATTTGGTTAAGGCCAAACGTTTATATTCAGCACAGGTAGACTCCTCGTACCCACCTTGAGAACCTGTGTATTTCATCAGAATTTGAAAATAGGGGAACTGGTAACTTCAGCAAATAATTGAATAACAAAATTGGCAGACTTTAACTAATAAATAATTCAAAAGCAAGTAAGTCTTTAACCTTGTTTACTCACTTTCCGACGTTATTCGTATTTTCTCACTTTTTTTAATTCCTTTGATATTTTTCGATGTAAATAATTACAATAGTCTATTATTAACTACATATGACCGGCTGTTCGCCAGAGAAGCATCAACAACTCTCCTTGTGATCACCAACTTTTCCTCACCAAAATAATTTTTTTCACAATGTGTTTTGTTGTTATTTACTCTTGGTAAATATACATTAGTTAACCGTATGTTATTTGGTCAGTTATTCATACCACTAATTGTATTTACCGGCATGTATTATTTTATATATTTTCACTATGTGTTATTTTCTGTACTGATATTTATTTTTCATAATGTTTACAATGTTATGTATCGATTTATGAATTCTGTTTATGTATTTACGTAACATTTTCTTCAGCAGGTAAGTGAGGCGCCGAGGCTGAATTGATAATAATTAATCGACTCGCCACCACCAAGGTCAGTCAGTAATGTTGTTAGTCAGCCTTTGGGACCTTGATGCTTTCCCGCGTGGTGGACGTATACGGCATCGTGTATGCTGGGGGTAGTTTGTTGCTAGGATGTGTTGCTAGGATATCTAACCTAACCTAACCTAACACAACCATTGTAAGTGACACGTGGAAAGCATACAGTAACATTACGACTATCGAGGGTGCCTGTCTGAAAGGTATCTGTCTATACATTTATCTGCTTGTAAATACACTTTAAATATGCTGTAACTTTATTTTTTTTTTATTTCTCCAAAAATTTTAATTTGTTTTAGGAATCAATGGAAAAAACTACTAGTGTACCGATTTTCATTAAAATCCGCTGCGTGGGTTGTGGCAGACGCGTATTACACACAAGGCGCTGTGGGATTCGGTTAGCCTCTTTAATTTTTGGGTGGACGGGAGGGTTGTGGAGTGGAGGGGGGTGGTAATATCATATCAGGTTTTCATTTTCGTTGGTAAAAAAAACTTTCAGGCCCGAGAGTTCATATCCAGGCAACACATTACAGGAATCCTTCGTTATCCTTCAGGGTAAAATTATCTTATGGTCTAGCAGGTGGGTGTACTGAATGACAGTATTCCTCGTAAACATAATTTTATTTTTAAGATTCGCCTGGTATTTCTGACAGATGGACAGACAGACACTCACACACCTGCCTACCACCTAAGTCACATACCTGCCTACCAACCAGTTCATACCAACACCACCACCACCACCACCTCGTCTAGGAAAATGCACCACTCCGCTGCTCTTTCTCCGCTTTAATTTCCGGAATATGTACCTTAGGCGCTTTTAAACGGAGAGAAAAACAATAAATAACTGGAGGGTGTTTCAGACGTCCTCCCTGGGAAACAAAGAACGCCCATCATTTCCCAGGTAAGCGCCCTCGTTGTGTGCATCTTTGTAAACGTGATGGTCACCGTAGGAATTGTGTGTTGTTCTTTTATTGCTAAACACAACACGGCTGATAATTGGGCGAGGAATTATCCCGCACTGATGGTCTCTGTTGAGCGTTTACCTTAGACAAGAGACGAGGAGTGGCAGATGAAGGAGATTGGTTGTATTACCTTCCTCTCCCCGCTTCCCTGGTCCTTCTCCTTGTGTCGCGGGATATGAATTCCGAAATGGAGGAGAGGGGGGGGGTTGTCTGCGTCGGTAATGTCGAAATTTTTTTTATCTAGGAAGCTTAAATTTGGATACAATAATGACCTAGTACCTTTTTTTTTTTTTTTTACGCGTTGTACACATTTTGTTATGACATGAGATGGGGGGAGGTAGTGTACAATGAACACAATCTTTGTTTTTGTTTTGATTGATGGGAAATGTGAGTTTGTTGTTGGGATATTTTGTTTAGTTGTTAAGTTTGTGTTTATCATGCAGTTCCTTGGTCGGGTGTTGAGGACGTAGAGATGTCATGACGGGATACCTGCCTGTACACCTGTCTACAACCTGCATACTCCTGGATTTAGACCTCTATACAAACATGCTTAAACATGCTTACAAACCTGCCTATACACCTGCTTACAAACCTCTCTACAACTGCCTGCAAATCTGCCTATAATCCTGCCTACAATCTTCTTATAAACCTGCCATCCCATCTGCCTACTAGGACGTCTACCCACCTGCTTACCCCTGAGCATGATAATGGTTGTAAAAGTGGATTTTGTGGGTTATTAAAGTGACAGGTACTCACGGATTCCTAGTGTCCAGAGGGCGACTGCTTGACCCCATGCGTCCGATAACGTTGCTCCATCTCTTATTGGTCTCCTTGTTGACTAGATCACCCCCCGTAAGGTCCTGATGACCCTGTCTGATTGCTTCCTGCCTCCATCCTCGTTGTCTATTGGACTCGGGGGGCGTTGTTGTTATGTCGTCACCCGTGTCCTTGGCTTGGGGCATGACCTGGGCCACGCCAAGGGTCAGACCAAGGACAAGAATTGGGACGAGTTGTTGTGGTGTGGGCAACATAGCGGACGGGAAGGACTCTTGTTGTGTACGTAACAACATACACACCTCTCCACACTTACCTCACACCCATCCAGCTTCTCTACACGATATCATCCACACCTGCAACAATAGAAAAATACTCTCACTATCATTGAATAGATTGTCAACGGTAAGCATTTTGCATAAATTTGATTAGATGTGATTTACATATTGGATTATGACCACAGCACGAGTAGGGATACATTTACAAGTATTTGGGATAATCTTACACTTAATATTGAAGTGCACAAGACAAGGGTGACCAATAATTGTGTCATACTCTATCTTATGGCAGCGCAGCACGAGCGGGCGAAAAAAAGAAAGTTTTTTTGAGATGGTTTATCTGTCAGTGAGGTAATATACCAGCGCTGGAGCTAGTGACATTGATGAAGAAACTACAATAGAGGAATAGGAGCCTTAAAGGTAATACGTCAAGGCTTGGGTTTTAATCGGTTCTTACATTATATTATTTACTTAACTGGGGCTCAGACAACACGTCACCTCACGGAACTGTCACAATGTAATTTTGATGTCATATTGGTTACCGTGTTTATATCGCGGGCCAATTATTTGCGTTTACATATCGTCAATTAAGGAAATGTTTAAATTTTATCCTTTGAGAATCGAGGCCCAGCCATCTATTTACCATCTCAACTCTCCACCAGATAGTGATTGAAAGTTTGCCTACTAAAGAACCTCTAGCAGACAGCCCTGAGTGGTTATGGTAATTAGGGAGGAGGCCGGTGATCAGCTTGGGGGAAATATTGATCCTAGATTAGCCAAGGCTTTAAAAACATGGTTAGTAGTTATTTTATAATATGTGGGTGTGTTGGTGGGGGGAGTGGTTGACTGGGTGTGTTGGTGGGGGTGTGGTTGACTGGGAGTTGGTGGGGGGTGGGGGTAGTGGTTGACTGGGTGTGTTGGTGGGGGTGTGGTTGACTGGGAGTTGGTGGGGGTGGGGAAGTGGTTGGCTGGGTGTATTGGTGGGGGTGTGGTTGACTGGGAGTTGGTGGGGGGGTGTGGTTGACTGGGAGTTGGTGGGGTGGGGGAAGTGGTTGGCTGGGTGTATTTTCAGGAAGGTGAATCAAAGTCCAGTCGCAGGAGTAAAGTACAGGTGCAGTATACCCAAGGTGACCCTCATAAAAAGCTCACACACACACACACACACGCACGCACACACACACACACACACACACACACACACACACACACACACACACACACACACACACGCACGCACAGGAGTAATCGGTCACCTGTAGAAGATAAAAGTTGTGAGAAAAAAATTATACGAATGAAATTCAAATCGATTCGCCTTTTTTTTTCTGTGATTTACCTGTGTAGTGTTAGGATTGAGGCCCCGACTCCTGGAGAGATTATTAATTGTGAGGTAGTCAAGGATAGTTGCTGTGGCCTTCTTAGTGGGTGGAGGTGATCGTGGATGAAAGTGTAGGCTGGAGAGGACAGTGAGAGAGAGGACAGTGAGAGAGAGGACAGTGGGAAGAAAGTACAGTGAGAGAGAGAGAGAGAGAGAGAGAGAGAGAGAGAGAGAGAGAGAGAGAGAGGATGTGTGTGTCTTGTTGGGTTATGCCATTGTCTGTTGATTCGAGATTGATATTTGGCGAGACACTTTTTTTATAATTAATTGACTACGTACACAGGGTAAAAAAGTATCTTACCCACTTTTTGTGTGAAACAATATGACACCACGAAAGAAGTATTTTGACAACCCTACCGAGGTAACACAAGTCGTTTTTGATCATTTCGAAATTGATTGGAGTCATCCGGAAAGATAACGATACTGTTTTGTTTTCCGTGTGTACTGTGCACCTTTACCTTACCGGAACAACACCAATTATCCATTAATGCGTTCCTCACCTTTCATTGTTGTATTTCTTTGCAGTTGTTGTCGTTGTTTTCTGGGGATCATTGTTAAATCACTGGGCCACACGGACACGTACAGGTGATTTTATTTAGGATTGGTTATCATCTTTGAATCACACACACACACACACACACACACACATATATATATATACACTCGCGCGCGCATGCGTACGTACACAAGTCTGTTATTTGTATTTGTAGTTAAAATTATTACCCATATAGTTCTTGTTTCATCTTATTTTGTAATCACTCGCCATTTGTCATTATAAATCGTTTTTTTTATGAATTACGCTAATAAATTTGTTTTTTCTATGGTAAGATGTTATGTAGTTGGTAACAATGTCACTAACAGTCACTGTTGTAAAGCCCATATATGTTTACTCATTTTTTTATTAATTTCATCACAAACAGGTAATACCATAACAGCTGTTACACACGTTTTCATTATTCATTTTCTCAAGCACAACAAATATCACGTCATATCGAGTCCATAGGTGTAATTATTTTCATCCATCACAAGAATAATGCATGGTACAGCCTCATCACTTGTTCAGTATTTATTTATATTTTCCACCAAGGTCAAGAGTAGGTCGGGTGGCAGCGTGTTGTTTAGTTCCGTATTTATGGAACGCGTGAGTAAGCGAGTGTTAAAAATCCTGCGGCGGCATTGTAGTGATCCCTCACTTCGCCTTCACAATATATCCTGGGTGACTCGTTCTGCCTGTCTGCCTCTACTGACGACTGCACACTGTCGCCCCGACCTAGTCAGCTCCCTGTACTGCCGGCTGTATATACTTTGTTCTTTTTTTATGACAGTTAAGTGTAAAGGTGGGGCCAGATTTTGTGAACTTTAGCAGGTGGTTGTCCTCTAACTTCTGGGAGCCTACCGGGGTACAAGGAAATGTTAATGGTGGGTAACTGATGATAATGATAATAATAATAATAATAATAATAATAATAATAATGATAATAATGATAATAATCTTACTAATTATGTAATCTAAAATTTTTCACCTTTTCGTTTTATCTATTGGTTGTGGCCTAATTAATTTGATGATATTGGTGTTAATTACTATTCATTTATTTATTTAGTGAACAGAACTGGACGAGTATGCAAATGTACTGATTATGTTTGTTGTTCTGTTTTGAGCTGCTCTCATCACCTGACGATTTGAGCAATTGTCTTTAAACCTTGAGGTAAAATTCTTGACTACATCTTGGAGATCTTCTTGTCGTTGATCAAGATGAGGTGGAGACTAATGCCGGGTGATGCTGACCTCCACCACATGACCTTACCACGTGTGCCTCCTCCAGAATCTCAACAATTCGTAGATAAATGAATAAATATCGATATAAGTAGAAAAAAATACATTTATATTTCTGGTATGGCGGTGACGGTTCACTTAACTAAGGGCGGTGTTGAGAGTACAGTACTGGGTAGGTCTGCGTCTGGTCAAGGTGAGGAGAAGGTTAAGTTCACATGGACTGGTGTCTCGCTTGGGTGGCTCTCTGACCTGATATTATTAAACGTTCTAGAGTTTCAGGTCATCAGTGCTGTGCTTTTGTTGTGGTGAGTCTGAATATTAAATCATTTCACTCACTGTACACTAATAAGGATCCTAATTTACGTATCTGTTTTCTTCTCGTATCAATTTATTTCTTTAGTCGTCTTGACGCTTATTTGTTGTTTTGTTCATTCATTGTACTTTGTCGTTCTTATCGCCCGTGTGTCATTCCACGCACTGCAGGGTTGGTATGTTTATATGACACGAAATTCAGGTCTATGTATGAAGGTTACTGACTTGAAACGTTCGTGTGTGTGTGTGTGTGTGTGTGTGTGTGTGTGTGTGTGTGTGTGTGTGTGTGTGTGTGTGTGTGTGTGTGTGCGCGCGCGTGCAAATTTCCGTGGACGAATGACTTATTTTATTTTTATGTAATATAATTTTCCCCCACTTTTTCATCCTCTCTCTTTTTATTTCTGTTCGGGAATTTACATTGGTCATCATTTCGGGTATGTGTACAGTGCCATTCTTTGCCTAAATTTCGAATTAAAATATTTCCGTTTTCCCATTTTTCATTACGTGTACTTAAGGTTTTAAACCGATAGTCACTCTGTCCTTTTTAACGCTGCTGTCGAGTAAAGTGACGGGGGCAGTTGTTGTGTTAAGGTGACGGGGCAGCTGTGGTTTTAAGATAACGGGGCAACTGTGGTGTTAAGATGACGGGGCAGCTGTTGTGTTAAGGTGTAAACGAAAAGAGAAGGTTGAGTGTGTGTGTAGGATTGAAGGCTGTCTCAAACACACACACACACACACACACGGCAGTAACAGGCGTAGAGCAGCAAGTGAACTTTACCTGTTGGTGGTTTATTGTGAAGCGTAGCAAATTTTATATAGCTGGTGTGTGTGTGTGTGTGTGTGTGTGTGTGATTCTAAGCTCACAGTGACGATCTTTTTCTATCAGGTTACTTTAGTTGTCCCGTAACCAGTTTTACCCGATAGGGGGTCACCTATACGCAGAGGAGAACCAGGGGGCCGGCCATTGAACGGATGCCTCGGTGCTCGCTCGGGAATTACAGACAGCGTATGGTATCATGAGAACTGGGACGCATTCTTACCCATGTGTGTACCCGAACCAGAGGAACGGTTGCCCTACTGTGTGCGTGTGCGGGTGTGTGTGGGGATGTGTGTGCGTGTGTATGCGTGTGGGTGTGGGCGTGTGTGGGTGTGGGCGTGTGTGGGTGTGTGTGCTAACAAATGCCTGTATTCTCTCAGACACCAACTGCAGGAGCAACGAGGCTACCATTATCCATGAACAACTACGCTGGACTGGCCATGTTACCCGCATGGACGACAGTAGACTGCCAAAGCAGCTACTTTACAGTCACCTAACGAATAGTAAACATAATGCTGGCGGGCAAATGTAAAGGTATAAGGACAGTCTTAAGACAAACATGAAAAAGTGCCAAATCGACCCCCTCTCCTGAGAGACGATCACTCCACATCGTAACGCTTGGAGGAGCACCACATGAAAAGGTGTCAATACTTTCGAGTTAGCCCAACTGCAAACCGAGGCAGACAAGCGCCAACGCCGGAAAGACACTGCCGCCTCTCCGGCACTCCATGTAGCCCTCCATATGTGCAACAACTGTGAACAACTCTGTCGGTCCCGTATCTGCCTCTTTAGTCACCTCAAAACTCACCAATGAAGGTGACATCCCTAATAACTCATATCATTGTATCATAGCTGGATGGTCGTCATACTCGATTCTGAGTGACAGCAAAGTAGTAGTAGTAGTAGTAGTAGTAGTAGTAGTAGTGTGTGTGTGTGTGTGTGTGTGTGTGTGTGTGAGAGATAAGGCCATTCGGGCATTAAGAGGTTGAACTAGAAAGACTATGAAATCTACATCAGACGAAACAGGTCACCGGTATGTTGGTATGCCTGAGGGGTCGTATCTTGTGTGTGTGTGTGTGTGTGTGTGTGTGTGTGTGTGTGTGTGTGAGAGAGATAAGGCCATTCGGGCATTAAGAGGTTGAACTAGAAAGACTATGAAATCTACATCAGACGAAACAGGTCACCGGTATGTTGGTATGCCTGAGGGGTCGTATCTTGTGTGTGTGTGTGTGTTTGTTATGCAGTGGTGGCTTAAGGCATGTATCTAACGTGTCTTGGGGCTAGAAGTGGTTAGCTGGCATAACATTTGATAAGCATCCTTTATACTTTGATTACCGTTTACGTGTTGTGGGTGAATGTGAATGGTTGTAATGCAGCAAGCATCTTCACAATGAATCCGGCAACACCCCCCCCCCCCTTGTCATCCCTTCTGACGTTTTTTTTTTGCTAAGGTTCTGCTAAAACGTTGTGGCGAGTTTGAATATCACGAGAAAAACAATACCTATGTTAGAAGCATGTATGAAAAGGTACTAAGATCTATTTTTATGAATATGAGTAAGAAAGAAAATATTGTGATGAGGTTTTTTTGGGAGAACGTCAGATTTTTATCTTGTATACTGGCAGATGGGTGTTGCTTGGTGCTCGATCGCCATCAATAACGCAGTTGGTCATCAAGCGATAATGAGGACAGGAGGCAAACCCTCTATTACACGCATGATCCGCACACCTTGTTCTTTGATAATCATTGATGAGTTAAGCTCCTATTAAGAGTAATGATGAGAAGATGATATATACGAGTATAATCACACACACAGACAATGTTTGCTTTTTACCTCCCTCCCAGGCCGGGCTCATACTTGGCAAGCTCGCCAGGCAGTCTGGCATCCCCCAGAGTGCTAATGACTTCCTCCTCTTAACACATTAAATCTCTCTCTCGTAGGAATATGTTTCCCTTCCATGCCTCTGAGAGAGAAGGATGTTATTCAGTTACGGCAGCGATATTAAATTAAGACCCAGACTTCACTCAACACTAATTTGCCTCTCTATTGTCTGGAGTTAAAGAACTTTGAAAAACTCCCAAGAGGAGGGAGTGGGGGGGGGGGGGTTGACCTTGCTCACCCGCTGTTGACATCCTTGCTCACATGACAAATAATATGGACAAGTTGTTGACATTAGAGGTACCCCCGTTCCTCCTCTCCCCTCCTCTAACTTACCTGAGAGCCTCTTAACTATAACACTCAGTTCAAATTTTTCTTTCATACATTATTTTCTGTGTGTGTGTGTGTGTGTGTGTGTGTGTGTGTGTGTGTGTGTGTGCGCGCGTGCGCGTGTGCACAGGATGGTGTAATGCGTCTTGCGTGGCAGCATTATGTTAGTCTTAAGGTGCAAGCACTGCTTGCTTCCTCTCGCTTTCAGCTACCGCCGCTGGCTAGTTCTCGTGGCGAACAGGGAAGCAAATTGCATAATTCCTCCCCTGCCAGTAAACAGCCTCTTCACCATGGAGACTCCTGCTGTGCCTCTTCGTGGCAACACACGGTAACTAGGTGCCTCATGGGCCCAGGCTAGACCAGCAGGGGATATCGGAGAAGCAGTGGGCCCCAGAGGGACGGCGCATAGACCTACTGGCATATGTACACGTCCTGACACCTACCAACCACTGCCCCTTGCGGATTAACCTTGGTAGGTATAAGGCTACGGGAGTAAACCCTGATCGAAAAATCTGTGGTGAAGCCCCGCATCAGGCAGACATGCTTACAGAGCTCCAACAAGACCCCAACGGCAGTATAGGCGGAAGAGGTGACCAATATGGGAGCCCAACAACTACACCGGCGGATGAAAGCAATGCATGATGGACAGGCTACTAAGGCAAAACCCAACAAAACTGGGCTATCGCCAGTCCATTGTAACTCTCCCTCTCCCCAGTTGTTGCAATCTTGCACCACTGGATCAGGAAAAGGGAGAGCCAAGACGTCTGGTTGCAGCCTGCATTCCTGCCTTACCACTTTACCACATAAATCAACTCATGCGCAGCCATCATCCAGCTCATCATACTTCTCATCATTATCAAAACCCCTATACCCCCAAAATTCCTATGGCCATGGACGAGTGGCGACGGGGATAGGCAGAGATGACTGCCGGGAGTCTCTAGTCACAACTCTGCCCCTGAGCGGCATATATAAGATGGTCATTTATGCACTGGGATCTATGCAGCAGTGCAATCCGGTCCTGTCTATACGACTGCGCAGCCCTTTCAAGGACCCACTCTGCTCACCCCACATGTGGAGGGGGCTAGAAAATGTGCCCTCAACATAAGACTGCCTACAGAACCAATCTGTCTGG